TGGAAGAACATGATCATTTTTGTCCAACAAGGACACATTTGTACATCTGCACACTCCCCTTAACAGCAGCACAGAGCTAGAATTCATCTCACCACTGGCTTTGATTCCAATAAATGGAGGAGTTGAGTAACCAGCTTGCTGACTAGACTTTCCTCCCTTCCTGTATTCCGAGAGCCAGTCTCTGCAAATTCCACCCTTCCTTCCTGCCTTATAAGACCAACGAACGACAGAAGGATTTAAAAAAGCTAAAGACACCCTGTGCAAATACTGTATAGCAGAGGACATACAGCATCTGTGTGTTTAGTTTGCATTACTTTTGGCACACTGTTCAGTAATTTTGGATTCAGTAGGTTGGGTTCTTACAAGTCAGCTATACATATGGAAAGGTATGTAGCTGCCTGGATGAAGGGCACTGCACAAAGTCAAGAACTGGTGAACCCATAGCAGCATATTACAGGTAGAATACCTTCCGATGCCTCATCATTAGTTGGCAAGGTTAGGAACACACTTCCTAGTTACATTGCCGCCATGACTTCAGAACAAACATGCACCTAGCATCCCATGTCACACTCAGGTAGCAAAGAACTGTGGAAGAAGATATATACATGAAATGACCACCAACCCATTTGCATAGTGGTATCTGCAAGCTGGCAAAACCAGGTGAGGTATTTGGGGTCACGGTGCCATTGATCCAGTGCAGAATGAATTCCACATGCCTCTTTGGAATTATTTACTGAGATGATGAAATTAGAATAAGATAGTCTGCTTGATAGAATCTGGTTTCCAAAGATGTTTTTTTCTAGCCTTTGATGTATACATAAGAAAGCCTGTTTTGTGTTTTATTTTTAGATGTTTGGTTGTTTTTGTATTCACTACTATGCATTTGGTTTTTTTATAAAATAAAATAAAATTATAAAATCCATATGTCTAGGGACAACTTCTAGACTTGCCTGTCTCTAAGACCCCCACCACATTACTTAGCAAACTGTTTTTGAAAGTGTGAGAAGATTTTGAAAGGCAATTTGTGCTGTGGCATCACAGTCTGCTTTTGAAAGAACAACAAGGAATTTTGCAGCAACTTAAATATGAATAACTATTATTATGCTTTCATGGACTGCAGTCTACTTCATCTGGTGCATGATGTGTAATTCTAAATTGGTGATTGCATAAATTAGGGATTGCATACACATGACAGGAGAGGGGAATGTAAATGATAGGAATTGAGGATATAACAGAGAATAACAATTACTTAAAAACATGATAGTCACAGTGACCAATTAACAAAGCAGCGTTGGTGATAACATACATCTTAACACTGGTAAACTAATGAACCATAATCTTGATTTAACCCATAGGTGACAGAACTGAATTGCAACTTTAAAAACGAGAGAGACAGAGAGCACCAAACCTAGTGCTAGCCACAGAAATACCAAAAGCCCAAACCTCATGAATCCTTATGATTTTTACAACAGTATGACCACAATACTGCCGCAGTTCTGTGGAGACATAGGTGACCTATGATCTGATACTGGTTTTGATATATGCACATATATACATACTTGGATCCTTGGCTTGGTTCCATGTTTTTGTGCCATGGCAGCACTGGAAAGCACCTGATCCACTATTTTCATGGTTCAGTCAATAGAGACAAATGTGATCTGTGATTTGATCATGACTGGGTGAAAACCCATGGGAAATTTATGCATGCACTTGCATATGTGACCCATCTTTCTCTGGCAATCCATTTCTCTTCCTTCCCTGACTTTCCCACTTTCTTCTCCTGGCTGCTCAGTTTTTCTCCTCCCTTTTCTCCCCTTCTACCATCTCAGTCACTTTGTTTTCAGTTCAGCTGCTGGTTGGACTCTTTAGAACAGGCATAGGCAAACTCCGGCCCTCCAGATGTTTGGGACTACAATTCCCACCATCCCTAGCTAACAGGACCAGTGGTCAGGGATGATGGGAATTATAGTCCCAACCATCTGGAGGACCGGAGTTTGCCTATGCCTGCTTTAGAAGCAGATAGATCTGAAAGAGGAAGTGGGAGAGAGCATCGCTTCTTCAGCTCTATGGGCTTTTCAGAGGGGAACCAAGGTAACCATCCTTGCCACATCATGATGTGGGCAGTGGGGGGCTCAGAGCTGTCACAGGAACCAGGTGAAGCTCTCAAGATCTCCATTGTATCTGCTGACTTAAGGAAGGTGCAAACTTTAATTGAGCTCAGTTTAACCTGGTAGGGCCTGAGATTAAAGGAACAGCAAACAAGTGTCTCCTTCACTCAGACCCCACCAGCTTTAATCACTGATGATGGCAATGATGATGATGATGATGATAATTATAATAATAATAATAGCTGTGTGCTGTGGCTAGAAGACACCACGGTAGCCCTTTCTCCCAGCCCTTTGCCACTTTCAAGGAAAACAGCAGAGAAGAACGCCTGTGTGCCTCAATTAAAAACAAATTGAACTATTGACGAAAGGTTTTAGGAGGCAGTACTAAACACATTTTGCTTTTTTGTTCCTTTGCCGTACAGGTAATAAGCTCAATGAGCTCGCTTTCAGAGTATTGTCTACCTTCCATTCTGCGCACTTTGTTTGACTGGTATAAAAGACAAAATGGCATAGAAGATGAATCTCACGAATACAGACCAAGAACAAGCACTAAATCCAAAAGGTAGACTCCTGAGCACTTTCTAACACTGGCAGCCAAGTCTTCTTGGTGCCTGTTTGTTTGTTTGCATGCTTATAAAATTAATTTTATACTGCTGGTCATAAAATATATCAAGGTGGTGTGTACTATAAGACATAAAACATCATTCAAGGTAAAAATAAATATATAAAAAAGACAGATAATTATTCAGATGACTCACGGATTGAAAACTAAACGGCTACAAAGGCACAAAAATGTGTTGAAGAGATACCTGAAAGTCAAAAGTGACTTTCAGTTTTGCACAGCATGGGGCCGGCAGCACTAAATGCCTGCCTTCTAGATAGGCCTGTCAGGCCTCTGTAAAACAGGGGACAACTAACAGTTCTCTTCCGGATGATCTCAGCGACTGAGCTGAGATGTAAGAGCTCAGATGGTCCTTAAAGTATCCTGGGACCAAAGCTCAACACATGAGCTTTACACTTGGCCCAGTAGCATGTGGGCAGCCAGTGCAGATGTTTAACAGAGGTATCACATGCCGTTGACCATCTTCCTGCATCAACAGTCTAGCCACTGTTTCCAGACTAGTTCCATGGGCAGCCTCATGTGGAGCGTATTGCAGTAATCCAGTTTGAGGTCACAATGCATGGACTGCAGTGGCCAAGTAAAGCTGATCCAGATATGGCCGTAGCTGGCATACCAGACAGAGATAGTAAAAGGCACTCCTAGCCACAGAGGACACGGACCTCTAATGACAAATATGTGTTCAGGAGCTACGTACCAGCTGCTTTAGAGGGAGTGTCCACAACAGGCAGCTGGCCTATTTTCTAGACATGGGAACCACCCACCCACCAACAAAGCCTCCATTTCCCCAAATTCAGTTTATTGGCCATTACCCAGTCCATTAAGGCACCAGTCCAAAAAACAGCTTTTGCTGTTGCTATGGAAGTTAGAGAGGCCCGCGCTTTACATGTCAGCGGGGCCTTCATGAAGTTTGGTAAAGTCACTATTGCAGTGGAGATATATAATGACAAGAACCTAGTGTCTGAATAAGTGCAGCAAGGCTTTTAGAACCGTTGCCCCTACTGGGAGCAAGGACTCTTTGGGCTCTGCCTCAGGCGGCAAAATATCTTGGGCTGGTACCTTGTACGTCAAACGTGTTTGCTTTTCTGATTTGGTTTTTTGGGTTTTAAATCTGACGTGTTAAAAAAAGCATTGCATTCAGCGTAGAGTGGAGGTGAGCATTTTGTCAGTGCAATTGTGTTTTCTTTCTTGTGCAATGGAATGTATCATCCCCAGTCCCCTATCTCCTTAAATCTCTTCTGGTGTTTCCTCCAACTCTCTGGAAAAAATTGGAGCATGGTGCATGGGGAGAGGAGAGGAGGGAATCTCCTTATGCTAGCACAAAAAGTTATTTGAATTTTGAGGGAATCTTTAGAATTTTTGAGGGAATTTTTAGAAAGAAATAGAAAATGAGAGACAGAGGGGGGTGTTTAACATTCAAACTAGATTATTACATCAGACATGTTCTTGATCTTGTTACCCCACACTTACAACATGCTGCGGCCTTTATTCCCTTTCCTTTTTCCTTATTTTTATGCTTTGTTTTTCCAAAATCTGAGGTGAAAAGTGTTTGCTTAATTTTAGCTAGCTGACTATATAATGCTTTTAATCATTTTTGTCTGGTTTTTATAGTGATGAACAGCAACGAGACTATTTAATGGAAAGAAGAGATCTTGCTATCGATTTTATTTTTTCTTTAGTATTAATAGAGGTTTTGAAACAGGTAAGTCATTTAAAAATATTTAATGAAATGTTGCACCCAGTTTAAGCCTGGCTTGGGAAACAAAAGGATTTCTTCTACAAGGATTGATTTTGAGCAAGCAGAACTAACTGGTGGCTAAATAGTAAAAGGTCCTGTTTACCAAGACATTTGGTGGCTGCAAAATGTTGTTCTTGGCAACCCCGAGACTGCAGGATGAAATGACGTTTTGAATTGATGCTGCTTTTAGACTTTTTAAATTTAAATTGTTTTTAGAATGTTTTAACTCCTTTTTGTTTTTAAATTGTATGGGAGTTTGTCACCCTGGGCCCTTTCAGGAGGAAGGACAGGATATAAATTCAAAATATAATAAAATACAATGTAATGTAACAAATAGTACAGTACAAAAGGAGCCTTGGGCTATAGGGAGAAGGGAATCACACTTTTATAACGTGTTTGTGGATGCATGGATAGATAGATAGCTAGATAGATCTATCAACAAGTAGATAGCTTTTATTATTATTATTATTAATTTTATATCCCACCCTCTCTCAAAAGGAGCCCAGGGTGGTAAACAGGGCAATACTGAAACAATAGCTGGATAGCTAAGTTGGTAGAACATGAGACACTTAATCTCATGGCCATGGGTTCAAGCGCCATGTTCGGCAAAAGATTCCTGCATTGCAGCGGGTTAGACTAGATGATCCTTGGGGTCATTTCCAACTCTACAATTCTATGATTCTATGACTACAGTTAAAACTTCTGAAGTTTTATATGAGGTAAAGACCTGTCATGTGTGCACCAAGGAGTGAACTAGGTGTCCAGGGTGTGCTTTGGCCGCATATTCCTGATTGTTTGTTTGTTTGTTTGTTTACTTATTTATTTGAACAATTTATATACCGCTTAATTGGAACAGTCTCTTAAGTAGTTTACAAAGCTACAGCACAAAAAATTAAGATCCGTTAGAACCATAAGCTCAAACATCAATTAAAATACCTGCTGTGGAATGAAAAAGGTCTTCAGTAGGTACTGGAAGTTTAATAAGGAAGGGGGCTTGTCGGACCTCAGCTAAGGGGAAGGACATTAGCTCAGTGGTACAACATCTGCTTTGCATTCAGAAGGTCCCAGTTTCAGTGTCTGGCATCTGCAAATGGAGGGCTGCTGCCAGTCAGTGCAGACAGTATTGAGCTACCATTGGACCCGTGGTCTGGCTCTGTGTAAGGCAGCTTCCTATGTTCCACCTTAACTACTGGTACTTTCCTTCTCAAGCGGAAGGTAGCTTTTTGTGGTGCAATGCCAACTTCCCCATCTCTTCCCCACCAGCTCAGTAACAGTTTCTGCTCCACACTTTCTAAATAAAAATGTCTAATCATTTGAAGAAACATCTTTCTATAATTGCTTGAAAATGGAACAGACAGCTCAATTCGAAATGCATTGTCTAGGACTTAAGCCTCGGTAGTTTCAGAAAAATTTGCTAACATGTTTAAGATTGCAGACTTAAGCAAACAAGCAAGAATCTTGCTGTCATACATTGGATAGGGGTTGTGTTTAGTTTCCAGTAGTGCAAACCACACATGAGGCAGAATGGAGAAGCGAGGGAGCAATCTCCTTAGCACCTGTGGTTCCTAAATGCAATCTGCAATGATTAGTAATGATATAGTGACAAGAATTGTGCTGTCTTGTGTCTGTGGCACACTCTTCCATTGTCTCCTGAGACAGATGCCAACAACAACATCATCTCTCACCTTGCAGATTATATTACACCAGTAAATATTAATAATTCTTATATATAGCTTTATCTGGTTTTATGTTGTTACCCACACCTAGGGACCCTTCAGGGAGGAAGGGCATTATATAAATTCAAAAGACAGGAGCTTTTGTTTACGTTTTGTTTTGTGTTTTCTTGTTAATAGTGGATACCATTAGCTTTGTCATCTCTCCTGCTGAGTCTTTTGACAAGTCAGTTGTTTCTTTTTCAGATTCAGCTTCATCCGGTAATAGATGGTTTAGTACACGATGTTATCAATTTGGCTTTCAAGCACTTTAAATACAAAGAAGGGTAAGGTTCATTCAAATATTTGGCCACATTTGCATGAATAGTTCTGTCAGTTTAACGCTTAACACACTGTAGTATCGCTTGCTTGCTGTGAAAGAAGCCAAAGCTAGGATCAGATAGAAGCATGAGATAAGAACGCATAGCAGTGCTTCTGAAATGTGAGTGCCAGTAAATTAGTGGAGCAAAGACCTCTTTTCAGAACAATCTACTCAGGAAACTTAAAATGTTTTATGCCTGGTTAACTGTCAATGGTTTCTCCCAGTTAATCTTGTGAGTCATACTTAGATGAGAGTATTGGATATTAGTTGCAGAATTACTACTCCTAGAGGTCTCGTGTAGATAAAGAATTAATGTTAAATCTATTAAAGTCTTTATTGTAGATGTGCCACCCTGTCCCCCTTTTCCAGTCTGCCTGCCTTCACAACAAGGAAGGCTTCCTCTTGAGAAAGCACTACAGAGGAGAATTGTAGGATATCCTCACAAGATTTGTGAAATATTAGCAGAATTAGATGTTCTTTGTGGGAATATGGTGACGAGTGTACCCTGTACATAAAAATTTGCGAGCATCGTTGTGTGATAAGAGTACCTTGTGATCTTTGATCAGTCAAACCTTAGCTTTACTGTACTATATCTATATCTTTATCTATATCTATCTATATCATTATTGATCTTGTTATATAAAAATAAAATGCATATTCTTAAACTTCTGACTTGTTTTTTGGTAGGTACCTTGGTCCTAACACTGGAAATATGCACATTGTTGCAGATCTGTATGCTGAAGTAATAGGGGTGCTAGCACAAGCAAAGTAAGTGCCTTTAATAAGAGATCTAGTCAAAGCCTGAAATATTTTGCAGGTTTTTCTTTTTAAAAAAAACACACCATGAGGGTATTCGGTTAGAGGTGTATTTGTTTCCCCCCGGTAGAGAAATTAAAGGAATAAATCATTCTACTCATGAACACTTTGTTTATCAAGTTGTGGCTTGGCATGGAGACCTGTAGAATCACAGAAGGTGGCTTCAACATCTAGTCAAGCAGTCCTAAGCCAATTTGGCACAGGCTTGCAGAAACCTCATTTTCTTCAGCTCATTAATACCAAACATGGAACGCCTATAGGAATGGAAAGACTTTTTGTAATCAGGGTAATTCGCAGCGGTGAAGATCCGCCTGCCCCCCCCCCAAAAAAGAAAGTGATTATTTCATTTAGCTTGGTGTATTATATACAGTGTTGTTTTTCTTTCCCCCTGCAAACAACCTTATTAATATTTACGGGAGGGAATATGAAGGCACATTTTTTTTTTGTGACAGCATTTTCTTTCCATCTGATTGTCTTTGATTGGATAAATCCATGCTATCTTTTGAGATAATACTGATCTTTCACGGATAATTTGAGACCCTGAAGTACATTGCCCTTCATTCTTATTGTTGCTTTCTGCCACTCTCCTGTTTTTGTTTTGCTTTTCTCACTTAAAAATATTTATGTGCGAGTGGAGGAGGTGGGAATGTTTTTCAGCCCAAGGGCCACACACTCCCTTCTGGGTAACCCTTCTGAGGATTTTCTGATAGTGGTAGGCAAGCCCTGAAGCAAATGGATGCAGCGATGAATACAGACTCTGTCTATGTACTATAGGCTAGTTACTACACACACCCCTTTCTACCCTCTGCCTGTGAAGAATTTTGAGGGACAATAAGGGAGGCCTGGTAAGCCACATTTGACCCCTGGTCCTGAGGTTTCCTGCTATTATAGGTTGTCTCTCGAAAATCTGGCATCCCTTTGTTCAGGTTGTCTCCTATTTGATTCAAGGCCAAACATTGGCGGGTTGGGTGGGGTGGCGGTTTCATCTCTTACTAGACCCTTTCAGTCCTATCACTCACAAATATCAATAGTATTTCTAGGAGAAAAATGTTCCATAATGGCAAGTTTCCATTTTCCATTGGAACTTCATTTTGCTCTCAAACTTCTGCTTTGAAAGAAGCGTCATTGCAGCTTTTGTTGTTGTTGTTGTTGCCTAAAGATTTCCAGCTGTGAAGAAGAAATTCATGGCAGAATTAAAAGAGCTGCGACATAAAGAGCAGAGCCCTTATATTGTACAAAGCATTATCAGTCTGATAATGGGAATGAAATTTTTTCGCATCAAGATGTATCCAGTGGAGGATTTTGAAGCCTCTCTTCAGTTTATGCAGGTAATGTGGCTCCTTATCACTGTACATTTTTTGATGAGGCAATCAGGATACTTTACAGTCAATGGGATTCTAGTAACTGATTTCATTGGAATGTGGCTTTTACTCTCAAATGGATTCCATTGTAAAGAAAGGTGGAATACAGGAAATTTTTGCCGCATCAAGATGACGGGGGAAATTTCCGTTGTATAATTGTTGCTAACACAGAGAGTTTTGCTCATCAATCTTTCATATTTGTGTATTTGACAGATAATTCTTATTATTAGGCTGAAATTAGGCATTTTTACCTTGGTGCATGCCGCATTGAATAGTGGGGACTATTTCCTTTATGAAGTAATATTGTTCAGTAAAACAAAGACAAATGTTTTGTCAAGTTTAATGTAAGTACCCTGTGCAACTTTTCCCTCTTTTGTTCCAGGAATGTGCACATTATTTCCTTGAAGTTAAAGACAAAGATATCAAACATGCATTAGCGGGGCTGTTTGTTGAAATTCTCGTCCCAGTAGCTGCTGTAAGTTACTCTTGTTTACATGACTTTTCAAGATGGATTAGAAAAAGCCATCTTGAGATAGAACTTTATGCTGACTCTGGTCTCTTTCCAGGCTGTTAAAAATGAAGTCAATGTCCCCTGTCTGAGGAACTTCGTTGAAAGTCTGTATGACACAACGCTTGAACTTTCTTCGCGAAAGAAGCACTCGCTGGTTAGTAATGCTGAAGCTAAAACCCTTTGTCAGAAATCTCTTTAGGCAAGTTTCTCTCACAAGACTCTTGGAAATGATTCCAAAATTATCTCCCTGTATCTGACTCTGTACACAACAATTTACTGCTTTACTGTGAGACTTTATGTATTTAAACAAGAAACCCTACATCTGTTTTAGCCTCTGCGTGATCTGGCTTTGCATGTCTCTGTCAGATCTAGTCATATTGCTGCTTTGTAGCTTTTAAACATGTTCATAATTTCACTTCCATCATCTGCTACTCTCTGTTCTAAAGATTATCATGAGGAATGGGAAAATGAAAGGAATGTGTGTTGCTTGTCAATACACATTAATAAGGCATTTCTCAGGCGGTTTCCTCCCCGCCCCGCAATCGGACCAATTTATGGCAAGCAGCAGTGCCCTTTCCCCTCTGTGTTCTGCTAAGTAGAATTCTGCTTCTTCTTTTGAGATGAACAGTGGCATAGGCATTTATTTTTGGGAAGCTGTAGTAGGGCTGAAATAAATGAAGATGTGAATCAGTTTGACACAGGGTGCCTTAAGCATTTTGCCTCTCCAAGTGGATCAGAGTAATTCAGACTCTGCTAAAACATTCTGAAGCCTTGGACCTTTACAAAACATTACCTATCTTAAGTAAAAGAGGAGTAGGAGAGAGTTGGGCAGTAGTGCTTTCACATATCTCCATGACAGCTTTGCTTTAGTTAATGTGATCATTATC